GAGGGAGTGAGTAAGTAAGTAAGTAAGTAAGTAAGTAAGTAAGTAAGTAAGTAAGTAAGTAAGTAAGTAAGTAAGTGTCATAAACCTGAATGTATTCTGTAATGAAAGACGTAAACGAATCTAATTTTTCTTTACAGGTCAACATTCCTCTTGTTATTATATTACAAATAAAAGAAGATTAATTGTTTTAAATGTCATCTAAGCTTCAATGACATACAACTAACTGTTAAAAGGTTGATTAGATGTACAATAGTTGTTGTAATAATAAGAGACAATAACAAGCTACATCAAATTGTACATTGTCAAGGTTAACAATTCACACAAAACAATAAATGACATGGTTAGATGGAAAACAATTAGTCCGTTCTAAGAAGATAAAGATTCATGAAAAAAGAATGAACATGATCTAAAAATATCAAAGTTTTGATGTATTCGTGCAATATACATATTGCCTTGTCAAGAGATTTTAATGCATCCAGCAAACAACCAAACTAGGAAAGGGTCAACGATAAGACAAATTACATAAGGGAAAAGTGATAAATGACGATAAAGAGAGAAGAAAGAGAGAGATGGAGAGAGAGAGGGAGAGACAGATGTAAAATGGTATTAGAAAGTATAGTACATGATAAGACTATTGTTGATATTCAATATAACAAGGTATAATCTTGTGAAGTGATATATCTCGATGAAAATAATGAATGGTAACTGTTCGGATCAAGTTATGCGTGTACATTTTGAATAACTAAACTATGCATATTCATATTTCTCTTATTTTAAGCTTCATTTTAATCTATAGACTATCATTATACGATTTAATATAATTGATTGATGCCCAATCTGTGAATTACAGTCTCTTCCAATCACAGACACATTTGGCTGAAACTTGTACAAATGTTATTTCCTATTTTATGGTACAAAGTGGTCTGTTTGGTTTGTATATAAACCCAGTATGCTTGAAATACATGATGTTGATTTACTTGTATTTTCCCATTGTGTATTTAGGACTGCAATTGATCAATTTCTTGTTGGCATTTATGAATCGTTTATGGAATGCCTCGATATTATCTTAACATCTAGTTAAAAAAACTGATCAAATAGAATGAATTCAACACTATTCAGTCTAAATGGACAATAATGTGCTTATTAACCGATTTTCTTAGATTATAATAGATTTAATAGGAAATTGTAGATTGATACTAGTGACAAGTTACAAAATTCTAATAAAACATCCAGTTGATGAGTCCCGAACAGGACGAAACGCGCATGCTGGATTCCTCACTGCTATCCAAAATCCATCGTTGCTTATAATGCTTGTAAATTAAAACAATATCGAGGCAATACGCACAATATGTACATATGCTAATAAGAGACTGATCAATTGCAGTCCTAGACATTAACGGGGAGATTCAAGTAAATAATACCAAGTGAGTTTAAACTTCATCCCATTGCACAGGCAAGTGGCTATCAGGACTCAGTAGCTAAGAAGAAAACGTTATAGCGTTTGAAGCGAATTGTACTGGGTTTTAGCCCCATGGTGAACATCAACTCTAAGATTCAACTACATCCAGTCGACGAGTCCCAAACAGGACGAAACGCGTGTCTTGGATTTCCCACTGCTATCCACAATCCATCGTTGTTTATAATGTTTGTAAATTTAGGCAATATCGAGGCAATACGCACAGTATGCAGATATGCTAATAAGAGACTGATCAATTACAGTCCTAAACATCAATGGGAAGATTCAAGCCAAACAATACCAAGTGAATTTATCTTTCAAAAGATATTGGGATATTGATGAATGAGATTATGTTTATTTCGACAATCAACTGGTTGCTGTTTTAATTTTAACTTAGAATTAGGAAAAAAAATTGAGGAATTTTTTCTCTCATTAAGGATTGATATTGATTGAAAAATCGTTACCAACTAGATAAAAGTAGATAGCTAGTTTCCTGTTATTTGAAATGCTTCGACAGTGTTACTGATATGACATTATAGATACAAAAAAGTCTTACGATTAGTTCGAAATTGGATGGTTTGTGCTTCTGATTAAAGTTGACTTGTGATTTCGCTCAACCATTATCAAAAGCATAGTTACTTACGTACATTATATGTGATTATGTGTCAGTTCTACAAAAAAACTATTCCGTTTGAATTCATTTTGTATGAGTTGTTTGAATCTACTCATTGTTGTTTATGACTACAATCGATCAGTCTCTTATTGGCATATATGCACCCGGTGAGGATTGCCTTGATATTTCCATTTAATGTAGAGATAGATGGTGGTTAGTAGTAAAATCCAGGACAAGCGTTTTGTCCTGCTTAGGACTCGTCACCTGGATACACATTCACCTCAGTACCGTTCACTTCAAACGCCATCACGTTATCCACTTAGCTATTGATTCAGATATGCACTAGCTTGATCAATAAGGTGAAGTTTTTATTCATTTAGCTACAATACGAAAATGAATTAAAACTTCATCCCAGTGCACAAGCTAGTGGTTACTTACTTACGCCTGTTACCCCCAATGGAGCATAGGCCGTCGTTGACCATTCTTCAACTAAGTCTGTCCTAGGCTTTATTTTCTAGTTCTATACAATTGTTGTTCATTCTTCTCATGTATATCTGTCTCCACTTCTCCTTTGGCCTTGAGGATTCCAAGTGAAGGCTTATCTTGTGATACAGTTTGGTGATTTCTTTAATGTGTGTACTATCTACTTCCAACGCTTCTTCCTGATTTCTTCCTCCACTGGAATCTCGTTTGTTTTCTCCCATAGTAGGTTGTTGGTGATGGCCAACGGATCCGAAGTATTTTGCGTAAACAGCTAATGATAAACACTTGTTTCTTTTGGATGATGGCTTTCATAGTTCTCCAATTTTTCGCCCCATACAATAGAACTGTTTTGACACTTGTATTGAAAATTCTGACCTTGGTGTTGGTTGGTAGTTGTTTTGAGTTCCAGATGTTCTTCATTTGTAAATATACTTCTCTTGCTTTACCGATCCGTGCCTTCACATTTGCATCACATCCACAAGCTAACGGTTACCTGGAGTTAATAGCTAAACGGATAACGTGATAGAATTCCAAACAAACGGGACTGGATTTGATTTCCAAAGTGACATGTCCATCTGACAAATCTCAAATAGGATGAAATGCTCGTTCTGGATTCCACTATTAGCCATATTTTGCTTATATTTTATTTGTATTTTTATCATGTATTATCATATTATGAATTAGAAAATAATAGTCCTAATGTCACAACTATACTTTCTTCAAAACGATTTCATCTTACCTTTGTTAAATCACCTCAACTGATTGGATTAATCACAGTATAGTGAACAAAAACAACAACAACAATAATAATACAGTCAATGAAAATAATCAAAGTAATACGAAATAATCATCCATTAAAGCATTATTTATCAACAACTGGAAAAAGCTGGGAAAGAATTGCCCATGTCAGGGTTGGATAGAGTGCTGGTGGTCGAACTATGTCCCTGCACGAGGAGTAACAGGCGTAAGTAAATTAGTAAGTAAGTAAATATCAATGTACTGATAGTATGTAATCTATCTCTAGACAAACAACGTGCTACTAACACTCAACAAAGGTAAAAACTAACTGTTTCTTTTCCCTTGAATAAACTATTCGTATATAAATAAATACACTAATGACACTCATATTAGTAAAATGATAAAAATGTGGAAGAAAAAGAAAAAGGAAAGTGAACAATAGCACAATCAGTCAGTTAGTTACAAGGTAGGACCAGCCACATATATGCATCGATCCAAGTTGCCATACGTCATCAAGACAACAAGATGAACACCGATTTCATACAAGTAGTTAATTCAGTGGTGGCATATAAGGATATAGTACAGAAAGAAAGAATTAGTTCGCAGAAACAAAGATATGAAGCTATTTTAGTCTCATAGTTTAAGAGAAGACAGAGAGTGTATACACAGATACCATTGTGATCGATCCTGAGCCATGTCACCTAGAGTCTCCAACCGTTATTGCTATCTTGATGTAGTGGTCAGGCTTGCCTATCGTGATGAACTATTCGAGCTATACTAGCTGGAAAAGTCGTTTCTCAAGGTACTACATGTCAGGTCGGTTGAAGAGCAGTAAGAGTAAAAGCAACAAACCCAAGGTCCGAACGTGAAGTCGTACTGCTGCATGTACAGAGATGTGACGGCTCTTTCCCTCAGACAACCAGTATAACAGCGATGCTGACTTCCCATAAGGAAAGGTGGGTTTAGAAAGGGTCGATCCTAAAAATACATACTTAGCCTTATCCCACGGATATCCGTCTCCGGCGGTATGGTTTCAACAAGTACGTAGCTAACACGAAAATTACTCAAGAAGAAGCCGTGTGCAACCGACCTCAAGCAGATATCTCTTGAACAATACGGTCACACTCTCAGATCACTAAGACCACATCCAATACAATTTACTTTTCAGGTACCTGAAGAAGAACCCTTCCACATTGTGAGCAACCGGGAAGTGATAATCACCCTCATACTTCCAACAGCACTAAAGACCACTATATTCATAATCAACCTCCCTCTTCAATCCTCATTATTCCTCGTACAATAAACAACCAAAACAAAGAAAGAAAAAAGGAAAAGAGAAAAAAAAGAAAGAAAAATGCGATTGAAACTAAGACAATTTACTTATAATGATGACTAGAATCTATATATCAAAAAGAAATAATTACAAACAAACAGACAGATAAACAAATAGAAGACAAATATACTCTACTTTCAATATCACATATACAACTATACAAACATAAATGTACAAATACAAATACAGATATAGATATAGATATATATTGAGGAGTTGTGAACTACTCAGCGAAAAAAACGATGAAGCTTCCTTTCAACTAATTATATCAACTACAGTATACTAATTGTGAAGCAAAATATATAGAATATGTTTTTGTTATTGGGTTTCTATCTTAGAAACAATAATGATTGATTTGTTTTGTTTTGTCTAATAACCTACCTGACTAATGGAGTATTTGTTGAATGATGTATAATACAATTGAAGGAACTGAAGAAATTGATAAAATGAAAATAGTCAATTGATTTCTATGACACAAATATTCTCTATCTTAAAAGAAATATATATATATATATATATATATATATATATTTCATAGTTGAATTCATCAGTCGATTAAAGCTAGATCATCATTGAAAACCTAGAAGCACTGGACAATCATTTCGATACTTCTTAACAGTTACAATTGATTGATCATTGGGTGGTGGTAATCAATGTCATGTTTGTCAAGTCCTTCTTAGTGTAGATTGAATGCTGTCAATCGAGTTGAAATATGGACACTAGTCTCGACTATACTCGAAACTGCTTGCACTATGTTGAGATAGGATGGTGGTTGGAGGTAGTCAACAGGAAACCCTAGACGCGGGTTTTATGCTAATTGGCAGTCGTCAGCGAGGGGTACCTGTAATCTTAAGGGAACTGATACCCGCTGACGGACTTGATCCCGTATCACCCAGCTTCACAGTCAGAGACGTTACCACTGAGCTATCCGGCCTGCGACCGACCTCCTGTAGGACTAATCAATGTCATGTGTGTCAAGTCCTTCTTAGTGTAGATCGAATGCTATCAACTGTGAAGCTAGGTGACACGGGATCGAGTCCGTCGGGGAGTACCAATTCCCTCAAGATTACAGGTACACCATGCTGACGAGTGCCAAGTAGCACTAAACTCAAGTCCAAGGTTTCCTGTTGACTACCTCCAGCCACCATCTTCTCAATAGTGCATATCCATCATCTCGTCCACGGGATTCAAACCAAGGACCTAACGGTTTCGACTTATGAATTCAACTATTAAATCACTACAATGAAATTTTGTGCTTTTTTCATGTTTTAAAAGAAAAAATTATGTTTATTTTGTTTTTTACCTACCGTGGAATTTTCGCTGGAAGTAACCACATTGTTGGTGATGTATCTGTTAAATGAATTGGTGTTGTTGTTACATCATTTGGTTGTATATTAGGGATTTTTTGATTGGGATTAAAATTTAATAAATTAGAAGGTGAATGAATTTGTCCTAAAGCCTAAAATGATAAAAAACATAAAACAGGTAAATATATATATATAAGTGAAGACAATACAATAGTTTAGTAATCGAATATATATATCATCAGTTTAGGGGTTGTGGAGATTGTTAAGTTTTTGATTGAGATCATGAACCGATTGATGTTAGACCACCATTGAAGACCTGGAAGCACTGGACGGCCGTTTCGTCCCATTTTGGGACGTTCGCGCGCGAGACTGAAGGCCCCAGGTTCGAATCCCGCGAGCGGGATCGTGGGTGCGCACTGCTGAGGAGTCCCACAATAGGACGAAACGGCCGTCCATTACTTCCATGTTTTCAATGGTGATCTAACACCAATCGGTTCATGATCTCAATCAAAAATATATATATCATATTACTGAAGAAATAGTCTGTCAGAAAGAAAGTCGGACAGATTATCAGGTGAGACTATAATTTATGGGCGACATTTGAGCGACGCTAAGTCACCTTGGGACTGTCTAACTACATACTAGGGTTAAATGAGGGTTATAAAATAGTTTGAAGAATAATGATTATAATATATCGTTGATGGTTAAGGTTAGGAATTAGATTTACGGTTTTTCATCATGAACTGACATCAGCTATAATGCCAGGATTGTATTTAACCAAATGGTTGAATGAATTTCGCGCCAAAATCTAAGACCTGTTATCGTAAATCTGATTGGTTCGTCCATAAATTATAATCTCCCTGATTATCATTTATAGACGAAGCAAGCAGATATAAAATAATGAATCTTGGGTTTTTGGCTAAATAACGTTTCAGCATCATAGTTGGTGTCAGTTCGTGATGAAATCCGTAAATCTAATTCCTAACCTTAACCATCAACTGTAACTCATAATTCGTATTATTTACACTATCTTATAATCCTCATTTGTCCTGGTTGTCAGGTGGACACTCTCAAAGTCACTTTAGCATCATTCAAAGGTCATCCATAAATGATAGTCTCATTAGAAAGTTTATAATAGTAGGTAACTAAATGAAACTAATAGAAACTAGTTATTGTATATTAATGAAATTAGACTTTATTCTTATGGTTATTTAGATTCTCATTTCTCTATTCTTTATTGTTAAATACTTGAATATTGTTCGTTCATTTAAGTATAAGAAGATAGTTGTGTACAAAACTTCAAGAACATGGCGTCATTATAAAGGTGAAGAAGTATAAATTTGGAAAGGAATCATTGAAGTTCTTAGGTCATATGATACTCGCTGATTTGACTCGCACGCTTACTCACTTGCCTGCTTGGTTTTTTGGCATTACTCTTTCATGCTTGCTTAGGGTATTGGTAATTATGGTTATCTGTACTTGATACAATAATAAACTTAATCAACACTTCGTATTCACTTTCTGATCAATATGCCGTTTAGGCGGTATCTAGTGACGGTTATCAGGACAAACTGTATAAAAAGTTTAAGAATTATATTAAATACCGACCATTACAAGATAACAAAGACTAATTGAAACATTCAGTGAGATATCTTCATTGAATATGACAATGTATGATTAACTTCAGATTGTAAACACTTAATACTGAAAGGATACATCTAAATAGTTTAGTATTTAATATGTGGAAAGATGATTGATAACTAAAGCATTAGATTTCTATCATGGACTAACCATACGAGAATTATTGAAAACTTGGAATGTAAACTTATGATCATACATGAACTCAAAGTAGGATCATCCTATCTAGTAGCATTCATGATACTATTGACTTATATAGTTGGAATTAACTAAGGTAAGAGTATAGTATAGGGACAATTTTGTCAGCTTGTTAGAAAACAATAATATCTAAATTAATCCTTTTAAATATAGATGCCTGCCGGCTCATTGGTTCAGAGGTAAAGTATTCAAGTGCAAGACCAAAGATCTTGGGTTCGAATCCCGCAAGCAGAATCCTGGAAGAGTACCGTTGAGGAATCCCACAATAGAACGAAACGGGCATCGTGTACTTCAATTTGAAACTTTACTTCAATTTTATTGGTGTATGCGCTACTCATTTTCAAAGTAATCTTAATAATCTCATTACAGTTTCTGGTATATACCTTTTATACATTCGTTATCAAAATCTTTTAAGGAATAAGCCAAAATTTAATGGGAAATAGAAGAAAAAACACATACTGAACTCCATTTAGTGTTTACTTTTAATTCGTATAAAAACAAAATAAAAACTAATTAACTCCTTCTGAATCCCCTCTAGGGCTACTGCCGGTCCCAAGCCTGGATAAAGAAGAAGGGTTGAGTATAGGGTTAGCGATCACATCCCATAGAAAACAACCTCGCTAAGAAAAGAAAAACACTAACCTTTTGGTTTAATGCTATCAATGAATATGGTGTATTATTTGACCAATTCTGTAGTTGAATCTGTTGTTTTAATGTTTCAACATCTAATTGAATAGAAGGTAACGACTGATTGTGTTGTTGCTGTTGGTGGTGGTGTTGTTGTTGTTGTTGTTGTTGTAATGATTGTTGTCCAATAGTTTGTTGTGATTGATGTGTATGAAGTGGTTGATTACGTTGATCATTTAAATTTGTTAAAATATTATAAGTTAAATTAGGTAATAATGCTTGAATTGTTCCAGATGGTGCAAGATTTATAAGATTTGGAATGGTTGTATTTAAATAATTACCAACTGATGTTAATGTCCCTGTAGAATTTATATAGGCTGTAGGTGAATTATAAGTAAAATTTAAAGGACATGAAGGTTGAAGATTTACATCAGACTGAATACCAAGTTGTGGAAATCTAGTCATTGTTGTAGAATGACCTAATTATTGAAATAGAACGTAAGAGATCATAGTTCAATGAGATTGTTTAAAACATGTTGAAGTTTCAAAATGAAATAGGCATTAACTTTAATTAAGCAAATGATGACCATGAATTACGAAAACTTGGATTCATGGTATTGATGTGCGTAATAATCGTGTATATGTACAATAATATTGAATGCTTTTATTAACCGTAAGTATTGTGGAAGTATTTGTGTTATCCTGTACACTGCCAATGTTATAAATATAAATTCTCGGAGTTCTAGTGAGAAGCCGTGACTAATGCAGCTAACACGCGTCAGGTAGAGACAGGTATCTACCTCAGTACAATGGAAAATGGTCGTGCAATTTCATGAATTGGTTGAAGTTACACATGAACACCATAGAATACCGGTTCAATGGTCTAGAGGTTAAGCGTTCGCACGAGAGACCGATAGGTCCTGAGTTCGAATCCCGCGGGTGAGATTGTGGACGCACTGATGGAGAGTTCCACAATAAGATGAAATGGCTGTTCAGTGCTTTTAATGGTGGTCTAACATCAATCAGTTCATGATCTCAATTAAAAATTATTAAGCTTACTGAAAATAGATATCAGTAGTTCATATCACATATTCTAATTGTTACTTGAGTTAACAACTGTTTGCAAGAAACTTTCACAACCATCCATGTTAAAGTTGAATGTATCTTATGAAATTGATGTTATTTGTGATTAGATTTTAGACTGTAGGTTAAAGATACGACTGGCAAAAAAATACATTAAATGTCTCTCAATATGTAAATGAATCATTCTGACCTTTTGTAAATGACATTTCTAATTTACACCGAATCAGATGATACAGTTCACCATTTTTTAAAACATAAAACATTTAATAATTGAATTCATGATTCGATTAAAGGCATACCACCATGGAAAACCTTGAAGCACTGGATAGTCGTTTTGTCCTAGTATGGGACTGCTCAGTTGTGTACATCCACGATCCCTCACGTGAACCTCATGCACAGGATCTTCGGTCTCACTCACTAATGCTTAATCTGTGAGTCGCTGAACCGGCATCCAAAGGTGTTAATGTTTAACATCAACCAATCCATGATAATACGCGACCGTCCACCATTGCCTTCAGTGAATAGCTGATAATAATCATCATCATGTGTTCACTACTAACTAGCTTCAAGATGTGCTTCCTGGAGTTCTAGTGAGAAGCTATGACCAATGGATTCCAACCGTGAATTCGTTGAAGTTAGACATTAACACCGTTGGATGTTTGCTCAGTGATCTAGAGATTAAGCATTCGAGCGGAGATATTAGGTTCGAGTCCCACTTGCGGGATTGTGGATGCTCACTACTAAGCAGTCCCATACTAGAACAAAACGGCTTCAAGGTCTTCCATGGTGTTCTAGCTCATGAATTCAACTATTAAATGATTACAATCTTCACAAACCTCCATTCTGACACCAAACATTATTTAATGTATTAGCATAACTAACCATTTGGTAGAACAGCTGCAGATGGGAATTCAATAGGATTTGAATGATGAAGATTTTGATGATGTATACCTGAGGATTCCATTGTTAGATTTGATGTAGTTAAAGGTTGTCCAACATAATTGTTAGATGTTAATGGAAATGATTGAAACTGATTGAATGGCATCACTGAATATTAAGAAAAATTAATAAATAAATAAAAGGCTTTATCTATCAAAATTGTAGTTTAGTGGCTATAATGAGTAGTTGTTTAATAAAAATATTACATGAGCTACTTACTTACTTAAGCCTGTTATCCCTAATAGAGGAGTATATTACCGCTTACGAGCAGTATCCATTGGAATCTGTTCAAAGCAACCCTTTTCCAAGTGTTCCGAGTTACTATTCATACTTTCGATATCTGCTTCCTATTCACAGCGCAGTGTGTTCTCTAGCCTTCTACTTTTCCGTTTTCTCTCATCATTCCATGTTAGCGCTTGCTTCATGATGTTTAGTGAGTTATGTAATTTATGTCCTATCCGCTTCCGACGTCTTTTCCTAATTTTCTCGTCAGTTGGAACCTGGTTTGTTCTTTCCCAATGGTAGGCTGTTGCTGCTGCTATCCAATCAGTGGACATTAAGTATCTTGAGTAGACAATTGTTTACTTCTTTGATGATGGTTGTACTAGTTCTCCAAGTTTTAGCTCCATACAATAGGACTGTCTTGATGTTCGCATTAAAGATTCTGACTTTGATATGGATTGACAGTTGTTTTGAGTTCCATATGTTCTTCAATTCTGGGAATGCTGTCTTTGACTTGCCAATCCTCACATTCACGTCTGCATCAGATCCTCGTTGTTTATCGATGATGTTTCCTAGGTATGTGAAAGTTTTCACATCTTTAAGAACTTCTCCATCACATGTGATTGATTTGGTTGGTGTTCTCTGTGTTGTATTTCTCATTTTTCCTTGTTTATATTTGAGGTCTACTGATGCTTCACTGGTTTTCGTCATCTGCATTTGTTCGTATGTATAGAATAGAAGAGCTAGGTGATCTGCGAAATCCAAATTCGTCTAGTTACATCCAACCCGTCCATTATATTCCGTGCTTATTACATTACATTATAGTAAATCAACTGTAAGAATAACATTACGATTAAAAATACAATAAGAGACTAATATATCAAATTCATATCTCCAACTACCTATCCACATTGCTTTCAGTAGCTAATTATTATCATTAAACTTCATAACATCAATGGATATTGTTCTAAGCTTAGAACATGAACTTGTTCATAGTGAACATGTTACATTATTCATTATATTATTCAAAATATTATAAAACATTTTAATGACACAATATATGGAAGTTGAAGAATGCTGGTCAGCAGCCTATACTCCATTGGGAGTAACAGGCGTAAGTAAGCGAGTAAGTAAGTAAGTAAGTAAGTAAGGGAGGGAGGGAGGGAGGTAGGGAGTAAATAAGTAATTAAGCACATGGAAGTTGTAAAATCTTTAGTTTCATTAGTATAAAATGATAATGAAATAAACATGACCATACATTTATCTGTCAGGACATTTTACTTTAAAAGGTCAATTATCCACATGAGATAGTAGGGTAATGATATAGTTACTAAATTGTCATTAAACTATCATTGATATATTAGAAATGAAATTTTATCAGGTCAACTTAAAATTTACATAAATCAGGCTTGAATTCTTTAATGGTCAATGTTTTTATAAACCTAATGAATTTACTGATGACAATTTTCATAGAAAGTTCCCCTTTCTCTTTCTTTGTCTCTCTTAAAGAAAAACAAACATTTCCAGGTCAATATTTGGATTTGTTTCAGAAATGTTTTCTAATATATACATATATCAATAGTTGAGATCATGAATCAATTGAAGGTAGATCACCATGGAAAAACTGGAAGCATTAGACGGCCGTTTTGTCCTATTGTGGAAATCTTCAGCAGTGCGCATCCACGACTCCTGGACCTATCAGTCTCGCGCGCAGTGACCAGTGAAGTTTAACCGGGTATGCTGTGAGATAATTACTCACTAAGGAAAATGGTGGATGTGTCGCGCAATTTCTTGGAGTAGTTAAAGTTAGACATTAACACCGTTGGATACCGGTCGGCTCAGCGGTCTAGAGGTTAAGTGTTCGCGCATGAGACCGATAGGTCCTTGGTTCGAATCTCTCGAGGTGGGATCGTGCTTCCAGGTTTTCCATGGTTGGTTAGCTTCAATTGATTCATGATCTCAACCATTAAAATTAATATAATGTCTACAAAATCCCTTTTGATACACATATATGATTAAAGTGTATGAAATATAATTGGTTCACACATACCACATTTTCCCATAATCTCCATCTTCTTAACATATAGAGGCTAAGCGTTCACGAGTGAGACCGAAAGTCCTGGGTTCGGATCCTGAGTGTGGGATCATGGGTGCGACTACTGAGGAGTCCATACTAGGAAGAAACGGTACTTTCAGGTTTTCAATGGTGACCTAAATCAATCAATTCATGATCTCAACCAAATCCGTCAGCGGGTATCAGTTCCCTTAAGATTACAGGTACCCCTTGTTGACGACTGTCAAGTAGCACGAAACTCGGGTCTAGGGTTTCCTGTTGACTACCTCCAGCCACCATCTTATCTCATCATAGTGCACACGGTGTCGAGTCTAGTCGAGACTAGTGGTCAGATTGCATCTCGATCGATAGCATTCAATCTACACTAAGAAGGACTTGACACACATGAGATTGAACACCACCCAGTGATCAATCAATTGAGAAAGCACTTTATTAACCGCCTGAACATTTAGACTTTGTATCTTTTCTCACTTTCGAGTCATCATTAATCTTCAAACTCATAACCTTGGATCGAAAACAGACGGTTCGATGCATGAAATGGGTTATAATTCTAAAGTTAGTTCCATACAGAAAACAAGGATATTTAAGAATTATATCTCTTATCAAGTTCATAGAATATGATAACAAAGTTTCCAACAACATACCGAAAACATCTGTCGTTTTCTAGAGCTTTCTTTAAAGTTTCAAAATAACTCTGATTCTTTGAAACATATTTGTTTATAAGAATATGGGTTTCTGGAGTAATTTCATTAGTTGAATTCATGAGCCGTGACCAGTGTGATCCAATCCGTGTCATGTAGAGCAGGTATCTACCTCAGACAATGGATGAAGGGTTGCTCAAGATCATGAATCGATTGAAGTCAGACATTAATATCGGTGGATGAAAGATCGATGGTCAACAGGTTAGGCGTTCGCCTGAGTGATAGAAGATCTTAAGTTCGAATCCCGAGAGTGGGATCATGGATGCGCACTACTGAGGAGTCCCACACTAGGATGAAACTGTCATTCAGTGCTTGTGGGTTTTCAGTAGTGGTCTAACTTAGATCAACTATGGAAACATTTTTTTAAACATCTTCCTGCCATGTATTACATCACTAATTTGTAATCATCTGACTAACTATTCCATCATTTCGTTTCATTATGTTTAACAAATACAATAATTTATCATTCTTTATAGTAAATAAATGTATTAACTGAAATTATTCGATATAAATAAGTCATACTTTAACTTACATGATGCATAAGCAAGTGATACAAATGCAGATCCTGAGTTCTGTAAATTTTGATTTATATTCTGATAGTGTTGTTGCTGTTGATGTTGTTGTTGTCTTGATGCAAGAGCAGCTGCAGCTATAGTAGCCGCAGCTGTAGCTGCTGAATCAACTTCATTTGGTAAAGCTAAATAGAGAAACAAAATTGATAATAATAATAATAATAATGATAATAATCACATAATGATTGGAATCGAAATTGCAAGCATTTAATGGAGATTAATGAATCAACCTTAGTTGGAAATTCTTTGATGATCAGAAAACATCGGACATTTGCTTCGTATTAGTACTGGAGTTCATAGGAGTGTAAAATCTACGACTCAATCACTGGGGATAGGATCATAGAACCAGAAAATGGCCGAAAATACTTTATCTGTGATTATCACATTATCTTAACTTCACTTCTAATAGAATGATTTATTACAATTGTATACCTATAAATGGTAATATATAGGAGGTGATCTTATTTGGGATGCTGTTGAAAGATAAGAAGCAGAGGGCAGTCATTTCCAAGTGAATTTCTTTGGTTCGATTCCTTCCGGAGTTATGCGTGATTACTGAAACGATCAGGTACTAGCTGATTATGTTTATGACAATGAATGTACATGAAATGGGTTTTAATCTTTGGAAGAGAATCAGTTTTTATAAAGGTTGAATACATAGTTTGCTAACGATTGCCAAATCTTAAAAGTAACTCAGGTTTGTCATTTTCTAATGACTGTTCTCAAGTATTAAACAACTGAATCTAACATATTTACTTGATGTTGTTTACTTGTATATTCCAAGCGAACGGTACTGGGTTCGAGTCCCAGAGTGAAAATTAACGCTGAGATGCAAAACCATCCAGTTGACGAGTCTCAAATAGGATGAAACGCGTGTCCTGGATTCTACTGTTAGCCATTATCCATCATTGCCAACTGAATCCAACATTTTGACAATAGTAATTATTAGGTAATAAATTTTGTTTGTAATTTTAATTATTAATTGCTTTTTACTATGGATTAAAAGGTGTTATATTAAATATGGTTATCGTTAAGTTGCATAGTCCATAAGTGTCACTGTTATTAAATAACAGTTGCTCAGGAAAGGACCTAACTCCACCTGGAGCCCCTCTTGGTCTAATGCCGGTCCCAAGTCCGGATAAAGGAGAATCGTTGGGCATGAGTTAGCGACCCCATCCTGCCCAAACCTAACTCGAAAAAAACGCTGACCAGAAAAAAACAATTCAAATCATTCAAACTCTGTCCTAAGAGTTAGAACTTTTTCATTTAGGAGAGTTATGACGCCTACTGGTGAAAGCTGAGTTCCTTCGGAAGTCACGAGGCTGATGCCCCTTCTAACAACCAAAGCAGCCATTAATTTGGATACATAGAATGCTCGTACAATGTTTAAGACTGGTAGAATTTTCCGAACTGCTGCAGAAATGAAGAGAAAAGCACCTAAACATTCTACAAACAACTGGGAAAGACTGCTCAGGACAGAGTTGAATAGAGAGTACTTGTGTGTGGCCTATGCTCCTCCATGAGGTGAAAGACTTCAATTCTTTGTATTACAAAGTTCAGTATTAAGTTGGTTTGCATTTAGAATTAGAGAATTGATTGACTTCCACTCTGAAGTATATTAAGTGGAATTTTTTTTGAAGGAAAAAAATAGAGAAAAAAGGGATTTAAGAATAATGGTTTGAAGTACTTCCTGGAAATGAACTTCCATTCATTTTTAACTTTATGGTAATATATTCTATGTATGAAAATCTTTTGTAAACTATGAATTAAGTAGTATTGTGGTATGTGTTACTGATATCGGCAGATATATAAGTAGTATATATGATCAATCGAAAGTGAAATATCTGGAGGAGGAGGAGATGGTTATGAAGATCAAAGAAATGAGAATGAGAACAAAGAATGATTAGTGTGGGAACGAAAGAACAATGAACTCAGAGACGATTAATTGACATTTTGCTAATGAATTATTTACTGTATGGTTCTGAGATTTTACTATGAGATTATGTAATTTTGTATTCATATACATTCTATTGGTTCTCATTTATGTGGTCGATCAACATAGTATGACTTACCAAATGCATTAGGTAATAAACTTCGTTGTTTCACTAAAGCATTACTTGAACTCAGTACTTCTTTTGGTAGAGCTCGTTTTGCTTCCACCTACAATGTTAATAAAACAAATTTAAACAAAGTGTATTTATTATCAAAAAAAAGGTTTTGTGTATATTATATTGATTTCAATGGTTGTGATCATGAATCAATTGAAGCTAGACAACCATTGAAAATCTGGAAGCATTGAACAACCGTTTCGTATCATTATGGCACTCCTCAGAGGAGCGCATCCACGATCCCACTTCGAGAGATTCGAACCAAGGACCTATCGGTCTCATGCGCGAACGCTTAACTTGTAGACCACTGAGCCGGCTGGTATTCAACGATGTTAGTGTTTAACTTCAACTAATCCACGGAAATGAGTGACATATCCAACATTTTCCTTAGTAAATTATTATCTCACAACAGACCCGGTTGAACTCCACTGGTCACTGATTCTCAGTGTAATTAAGTTGGTGTTTATAACAAATTATGTTCATGTTCATAATGAGGTGATTAGTACTGAAAAAAAGTGCAATTTACATTACTGATTTTTCTTTTAGAAAAAGTACTTTCACCAACAATTTTGTGGTAATTTCAGTAATTCGATAAAGTACTAAAATATCAAATGATTCTATGATTCTTTCATTCTAATGCATGAAAACAATATTACTTACTTACTTACTTACTTACTTACTTACTTACTTACTTACTTACTTACTTACTTACTTACTTACTTACTTACTTACTTACTTACTTACTTACTTACTTACTTACAGCTGTTACTCCGAATTGAGCATCGGCGGTTGAGTTTAAGTGATCTAATTCATTGTCATTTATAGTGTCACACAGATGCACGGGCTTCAATCTTTCCCATTATTAAGCGTTACAATATATATTATGATTTATATCTAAATGTTAAATTCTATTCTCGATGTACACTTTTCCCGTATTATCATTCATATATCTGATATAGAAAGTTTAGTTAATTGAAATTCAATCTAAGCTACATTATTATTTAGAATAAGAACTATTCAGTTATAATAATCATAAATCAATTGTTAAATCAATAAATCGATAAAACATTACAATAAAATCGATAAGAATATAAAAAAATTTCTGTTTATCATTGATTATGAAAGAAGGATTCACTTTTATTGATTTTCATTAGTTTCAGGAAATAGTGAATGATTTCCGTTTTTTTCTGTTTTTTGCTTTGGTTGTTTCGATAATTTATGAATTTCAATAATACTAAGTGTATTCAATGTCACGAAAATTCAATGCCTCATTTATATTATGAAATGATTAAACAATCTAAGTAAAACAAAATCTCTGTAGTATCCAAAACGTTTGGTATTAAGCATGAATGCTTTTTATTTCTAGATTTCCTAATGTGTTTGGATATTGATTAAGTGATTTAGCAATTTGACTTTGGTAAATGGTACTTGAGATTTAATGTTCGATTCCCGGTTAAAGAGTTGTGAATAACTACTGATGAAGGGTCAGAAATGAGGACGAAACGGATTTCAAATTTGTCTGGGTTTTTAATAGTTGCTTACATTAGTACTGTACATGATTTTAATTCAGCTGAAAAGTGAGAAAAATCCGATCACAAATCATTGATATAAATGGTACAAATGATCTCATGACCAAAATTTGTTATTGTCTTATACCAAGACAAAATAATTGTCTAGTAATCCTTTAGTGTTATTGGTTAATTAGTCAAATTTATAGTATGGTGTTAACCAGAGATTAGAACTGGTTATGTTAATCAGTCAGTCCGTTACAATGTAGGACCAGGAGCATGCATGCATCAGTTCAAGTTGCCACACCTCATTAGAACAACAAGATAAACACGAAATTCATAGAAGTAGTTAATTCAATGGTGGTAATATATAAAAGAAAGATTGTATATAAGGATATAGTACAGGAAGAAAGAAATAGTTCATCGAAAGAAAGATATGAAGCGATTTTAATCTTATAGTTTAAGGAAAGACTGTGAGCCATGTCATCATGAGTCTCCAACCATTGGTTACCATAATCAAACGGAACCCAACCAAGTAATCTGCATTTACAAACCGACCGTTGTTGCTACCTTGACGTGGTGGTCGGGCTCGCCTATTGTGAGCTATACTGGCTGCAACAATCGTTCCTCAAGTTCTTACCATGACAGAAAGGTCGGTTAAAGAACAGTAAGACTGAAAGCAACAAACTCAAGGTTCGAAGTCGTAGTGCTGGATGTACAGAGGTATGACATCAGTAAGGTCTTTCCTTCAGACAACTAATATAGTAGCGATACTGTTTTTCCACAAGGAGAGGTGTGGTTAGAAAACGTCGACCCTAAAAATGCACCCCTCGCTTTATCCCACTGATATTCGTCTCTGGCGCCAAGGACTCAAAAGTACGGAGCTAACACGAAAACCACTCACAAAAGGTCGTGTGTGACCGACCTCAAACAGTTGTCCCTTGTGCACTGCAGTCACGCTCTCAGGTCACTATGACCACATCTAATACAACTTACCTTTCAGATACATCCAGAACATCCGCTCTACGGTGTTGGAAACCGGAAATTGATAACCGCAGTCAAGACAACTGTATACATTATCATGTTAATCAGTCCAACACAACTTTTACATCGTATTTTGATGTGGAATTTTCGTGAAAGTACACATTTATGTAAAGGAAAAAAGAAATGAACAACACAGAGTTCGGAACATGTTGGAAATAAACAGGAAAGTGTAGATGAAGTCTTAAAGAAATTGATATTGTAAGTAAAGTTCGAACCACTAATCCACAGATTGAGAATTTACCACTGAACATTTAGAAGGATGCATTAAGATCGATTAAATGAATGGTGGTATGTTTTAAACTTAAACTGAAGCTATTGAATATCAGATCTGCGCTAAACAAGTGATGTCTTTAAGATGACTAATATTAGTGATATCATTATCCTTAAGAGTGAAGCTTCACCTTTCTGACAAACTTTAGCGAATATGAAATTTAGGTCAAGAGCTTACTATAGACTACTACTAACTACTTATAAACTGTATTTCATAAATAAACTAGTCATCTATTCAACATATCAAATTATTCAAAAACACTGACAGGATATTTATTACTTAGGATATATTCAGTTAAACAACACAGTTGGCTATAAATAGGCATCCCAAATTTTTCAAATATTCAGACTAATAACTCTTCTAATCGAATGCTAAATTTGGTTTCCTAAGCCCTTCTAGTAACCCCTAGGCTAAATCTATACAGTAACTTGAACACAAGAGAAACCTTTTACTCTAAAGGTTCGTTCTTATAGTATTTTAGATGACCTTGGGTTTCCGGAAAATTCTGGAATGCTACTAAACGTAATAGCAGTATAAGTAATCAACCAATCCGAAACATGACATGTGACTTGACACTTTCGCGATGACTAGTATAGGGGTTGTGGAGATTATTACATTTTTGATTGAGATCATGAACTGATTGATGTTAGACCACCTTTGGAAACCTGAAAGCACTGGACGGCCGTTTCGTCCTATTGTGGTCCTGGGTTCGAATCCCGCGAGCGGGATCGTGGATGCGCACTGCTGAGGAGTCCCACAACAAGACGAAACGGCCGTCCATTGCTTCCAGGTTTTCAAAGATGGTCTAACATCAATCGGTTCATGAACTCAGTCAGAAGCTTTCTAGATGTTCTTGGCTAAAACGTCTATTGAATGCTGATTGGATAAGGGGGTGTCTCAGTGTTTTTTCAGAGCCTTTATATTCAGCTTTTTTTCCAGGAATTTTCTGGATCCCCTCAACACAAAGTATTGATCAATTGCATATTTTTATAAAATGGATAATAAAATAATCTCAGAAAATTCACCTCAAATTATTGATGTATGATTTAATATATTGAAGTGATATTTATTTTCAATAGTTGAGATGATCAATCGATTGAAGCTAGACCACCACTAGATGGTCGTTTCGTCCTATTTTGGACTCCTCAACAGTGCGCATCCACGATTCTGACTCGTGAGATTAGAACCCAAGACCAGTCAGTCTAGTATAGGGTTGTAGAGATTGTTGCATTTCGTTAAGAGCGTAGCGTTTGAGAGTCCTTCCATCTGGTCGAACTCGAGAGTGACGTATAGATTTGCAATACAACTTTGGAAACAAGTTGGTTTCTATGCACTCCTTCATAAAATCAACATTTGTCATCGCCTCACTGGTTTAGAACCTTTAACGCAAATGTTTGCTCAAAACGTTTCAATCTAGTGTTGTTACATTTCATTGAAATCATGAACTGTTTTAATTTAGAACACCACTGGACACAGAGAGTCCACGTGGGGGAGTTGGAAAACCCTGACTCCAAATCAGTGGTGCACCTGAGCACATGGTACTCATGGTCACCGGGTACCATGGGACTGCATTTCCTGCCGTTGCCCTACTTCTTTGTGTATCAGACATTTAAGTCGAAGGCTCCGGGTGTGGCCTCCTAAGAAAACCACCTGGTTCGGTTTGGGCACCCGGTCAGTATCCCAGCCCTCACACAAATCAAATGATATGGTGTCTCTTTGTACCGATAATTACATGTTCAGATAAATAAAGAAATTAAATCATTTCATGATATCAGTGAAATACAATGAACTCAACAACACCATACTGACAATTATCCTGTGTATTTTTTATAATGGGAGGGGGCTTTGTTAATTGGTTTAGTAATCCCATTCTCACAATCTTGAGGGTACGTGTTTACGAACATATTACGATCAAACTGTCTGAATACGATATGAGTATAATTTGTTTTAAAAGAAATCTACTATTGTAGTTAAATACCATACCGTAATGATCAGATGGATGGACTAAGTAGAAATGTACCCAATTCTCAACTAACAACAAATATGACTTAATTTTCAATATACATAAATCTTTCTTAACTAGTACTCTGTAACCAATACTTGTGTAACTATGCAAGAATACAAACATTTCAATCATTTTTAAAGGATATATCATAAAGAGTTAAGGGAACATTGAAAACTGTAACACAGTTGGAAAACGTATTTGAAACAAGCATAGATAAATGGATAAATTAAAATTTAAGTCTCAGTTTCTGCGACATGCTGAGTAATTTAATTAACTTGAAAAGTAGGGTTTCTTTCAACAACAACAACAACCCATAATTACGCAATTCTGTTACATTTCTGAAGAAGAAACAGTTTGAAACTACGAATAATTTTAGTATTTTTGTTTATTGGAATATTGTTATGAACTACGACTGGAGTCCCTGTGGGGCTGCTGTCGGTCTAAAGCCCAGAAAAAAAAGGAAGGTTGGGCATGGGATTACCGATCCCATCCCGTAGAAAATTAACTTACTTAAAAAAAACGCTAACCAGAAAATTATTCTCGACTTCAAGACGTACTATCTGTATGATCAATAATGATGATGTCTATCTGATCTAACCATAATTGGTAGAGTATTGTATCAGTTTATGACGTATTAGCTGAGTAATGAATAATATTAATCAGTAAATCGTTGTGCTTTTGATGCTATTATAGTCAATTTGAAAGTTTCTGTGAATGTGTGAATCAGCTTTCTTCAATGTGATTGGTGTTTATTTTGAAGCAAGATTTTTTCTACGGGATGGGATTACCGACCTCATGTACAACCTTCCTGCTTAACCGGAGCTTGGGAATTGCAGTAACTCTAGAAATGCTACAGGCGGCGTCTTGTACGTAGTGTACGGAGTTGAAACGTGGAGAACTATCACAAATATCATCAAAAATGTACAAGTATTCATAAACAGTTGTCTACACAAGATACTCAATATCAAATTCATCAGATATCATCAACAACACTCTTCTGTGGATGAGAACAAAACGGCTTCCAGTTGAAGACCATATTAGGGAAAGATGTTGAAAGTGGTTAGGATACACATTGAGGAAATCACAAAACCGCATCACGAGACAAACCCTAATATGGAATGCTAAAGGGAAGTGGAAAAACGGAAGATCAAAGAACACATTATGTGGAGAAATAGAAGCAGATATGAAAAGGATGAATAATAACTAGAAAGAAATGGAAAGGATTGTCCAGGACAGAGCTGTATGAGGAGTGCTGGTGGTTGGCCAATGCTCCTCCACAAGAAGTAACTGGTGTAAGTAAGTCAATCAGTTTAGTGAATCATTTAGATAATTTATTAATATTTATGAAAGTTTCATTTTATATTCATAAATTATATTAACAAACTGTGGATTTCTTTCTTTCATCTCTTATTTCATTTGGATTCTTCTTCTTCTTCTTCTTCTTCTTCTTGTTTATTCTTCCTCTTCAATAAATAGAATTAATGAATTTTAACCTAACAAAATGATGATTATTCCCAAGAGTGAAAATGACCGAATAGAAATACAATTTATCCATATTGAATATTTTTATATATAACTTATTCGGTAATAAAAATGACAAGAAACGTTTTGGGGGGGTAGGGGGAGGGGGGAGGAGGGACACAGAGAAACATCGAATGGAATAGTTAAATGAATAAATGAACAGATTGTATATGACGCTTGAAAAATGATATTGAAGTCAATTCATTATTATTATCATTAGGTAACTATGCATGTTGATACATTTTCAATCCTGTAAGCCAATTAAGGAAGTATATACCTAGAAACAATTGTTAGAACTAATGGGAATGAATGTTAAAGGTTAGTTTTTTTTAAGTTACAATATTAAGATTGTCTATTGATGATTTATATTTTTAGGATTTATTATTATAATGGATATTTATAGAACGTATGATTGATTAAACTGTAAAATTGTGCATGGAAGACAGTTGACAGACTCGTTCGAAGTAAAGACTGGTGTTTGGTAAGGTTGCTTACTCTTGACCTTTCTCTTTCGCTTGGTAATCGACTGGATCATGAAGATGTCAATATCAAGGGGTAAGCATGGGATACAGTGGACAGATAAGATGCAGTTGGACGATCTAGACTTCGCAGATGATCTGGCCCTCCTATCGCACACGCAACAAAAAATGCAAGAGAAAACGACTAGTGTAGGAGAAGCAACCTCAGCAGCCGTAGGTCTCAATATACACAAAGGGAAAAGCAAGATTGCCCCCTGAATGCCCTGGTACGGCCGAGAGTGGGGAGAGTCCGCTCTCCCTCTCGAAATACTCTCACACGGCCACGCGTATACAGCCTCTGCCAGGGAAGTCCTACTCATTGCCTTCTCGTGGCGGGGGTGTTGTTTACGAAAATGAGAGGACGAAAAGCGAATGTCCGGCGCTTTAACCGGATTCCAAATCAATGGTGCACATGGGCTCCAGTATCCTGCGGGAACGAATGGCGTATGAACCAATCGTTGGTCACCGGCTACCATGGGACTGCATCTCCTTACGATGCTCCACTGCCTTGTGGGTTAGACCTTTAGGTCAAAGGCTCGGGGGGTGGCCCCCTAAGAAAACCACCTGCTTCGGTTTGGGCACCCGGGCAGTATCACAGCCCACACACAAACGATGAACTCTATGTCTTTGGCAACTACTTTCATCGCTCCGAAAAACAAAAACAATCAATCAATTCAAATAATTATCATTACTATTATTGTCATTATTGATACTATTATTATTACTATTATTGTCGTTATTATTATTATTATTATTATCATTATTATTATTATTTCCCACATTATTCACCCTCTTTCATACTTATACAGCGGCTCGGCTTTGGTGGAAATTCGACTGTATCTAAACGTTCTCGAGTCACTGTCCGGTTGAAAGTTGTATGTTACCATCGAATATGAGTACTGAAGCAGTTTTTCTGAAACCACGTGCGCCATTCAAACTGGCTGCCTTCA